CTAATAGGATTGATGGAAGAGGCAGTTTACTCGCTCGCCGTCGGATCCTTACAAGGCACCCCGACCTACGTCCACGATATCTCCGTCTCTTCCTCATGCGAATGACGGGGATTTGGGCCTTGTCGGGTGTCTGTAGGATATCCTTCGCGGCCGCCTCGTTGAATAAAAAATCTTCGTCCAATACGAGGTGAGTAATCGCTGTCCTGATATCCAGAAGCTCTTTTTGGTTATAAGAGACAATGGCAGAAACATTATGTACAAAATAAATTACAAATAACGCGGAAAAACACACATAATAGTACAATTGGTTAGAGGGCTGTAAAACGGCAGCCATCTTCTCCGGCGCTGTTTCTTCTGGATAACTGGTCAGAGCATAGCTCTTTCCATTCAGCTTCAGTTAACTTTGATTTAAGGCATGATCACGCATGTGGTGACTACTTCTGTCCGTCATGCCCATTGTTGCTTATCCATTGTTCACTAGATATATCAATGTAATTACACTCAACACAATGTTGAAAACAGAATGCTTCCCACCTCTAGATTACATAACTAGATGTAAGCTGGACGTGATCCCAATGCTGCCACCAATATAGCGGAAGAAAGTGAAAGCTGCAACAGGGACTCTAACCAGGGCTCATACGTGAGCTCTAACGGCTGTTGCCATAATAGCCAAGTAGGCCTCTTGGCAGAGGCAGTAGGCCTACAATGCTGGCATATGCCTTGTTACAATAGCCTACGTATATAACATGATTGACACGACTGTAATAATCATCATGAAACGGCACTGGAAGTTCCATAAGTGTAAGCCAACATAAGTAATTATTAATCGTTTTAACTGCATTGACATGGCTTAATTGATCATAGTCCATACTTGTTATAGTTTCAAATACCATGCAGTTGCACCAGGAGAATTTCAACCAAATAGATTTTTTTTGCAGGTCTTCTGTCGTTTATTGATGATAAACCACATTTATTGATGAATTAATTTCCCATCATGAAAATGTATCACCATTCCCCAATCAAATACCTTCATCAATACCACACACAAAAAAAACAGAAAATACAGCATTTTACTCCAATCTGGCAACCCTCATAAAATCCGACATAGCATCAGTATCCCAAAGTATTAAGCGAAAACAAGCATAGAAAACAGCATTGGCATTAATAAAAGAAATTAAAACGTAAGGCTACTATTATATTATAAGTATTTTGGTGACAACCTGGTTGATTAACAATATTGGGTTGTTAACACCTTTGTTTTTTTATGTAAATAAATGTGGGACACATAAATGGCAGTGTAGAATACCATTGCCTAAAATGCATTGCTCCAATAACTTTCAAAAGATTGTTCTGAAGTTTGCCCCCAAAATGTATTTTCCTACGAATGAAGTCACACAAAAACGTACAGAAACGCACAAAATCTGCTGAAATACTTTTTGTACATATTTGCTTGAATTTAGTGTGAGATTGTTTTGCTATCAGAGTAGAGAGAGGGAGAGATCATATCAAGTGAAAATAATTATAGTTCTGTGAGAGACATAGCCACGTGCTTCTCTCTCTCTCCACAGGAATGGCTATGTGTTGGTCCATGTGTAGGCTACAATATTGCCAAATCATAAACCCGGGCCGGCCCAACACGAATCAATTATCAGGCACGTTTTCACATTACGTTTTTTAGGGGGAAGCCAGGAGAATTACAAAGGAGTCAACTTGAATTAGCCCAACTCTGATTGTTTTTATTTTTACATTCCAAACACTGAACATTATTTTTCATGCCATGAGAGGTATCAGATCCTGGAAAATGGGTTCCGGAACAAAACTGAGAGGTACCGGATCTTGTTCCGGCAGGACCCGGCTCAAATTAAGCACTGGTCCTTCCACCATATTTATTGCACCAGTCTAGGCACTTATCATTAAATCAAGTCACATTTTAATCATTTAGACACCCTTATCCAGAGCAACTTACAGTTAGTGAGTGCATACATTATTTTTTTAGTTTTCATACTGGCCCCCTGTGGGAATCAAACCCACAACCCTGGCGTTGCAAACACCATGCTCTACATCCCTGCCGGCCATTCCCTCCCCTACCCTGGATCAATTGTGCGCCACCCCATGGGTCTCCCGGTCACGACCAGCTACGACAGAGCCTGGATTCGAACCACAGCTAGCACTGCGATGCAGTGCCTTAGGCCACTGCGCCACTCGGGAGAGATAAAGGGCATCATTGCCAAGTACACCACCCTCTGCAACTGGGTCCTGGACTTCCTGACGGGCTGCCCCCAGATGGAGAGGGTCGGCAACAACATATCCGCCACGCTGATCCTCAACATGTAGGCCCCTCAGGGATGCGTGCTTAGTCCCCTACTGTACTCCCTGTTCACCCACGACTGCGTGGCCGTGCACGACCCCAACACCATCATTAAGTTTGCCGACAACACAACGGTGGTAGGCCTGATCACCAACGACGATGAGACAGCCTACAGGGAGGAGATCAGAGACCTGGAAGTGTGGTGCCAGGACAACAACCTTTCCGTCAACGTCAGCAAGGCTATAGGAGCTGATTGTGGACTACAGGAAATGGAGGGCCGAGCACGCCCCCATCAAAATTGATGGGGCTGTAGAAAGCGGGTTGAGAGCTTCAAGGTCCTCGGTGTCCACATCACTAAGGAATTAACATGGTCCATACACACCAACACAGTCGTGAAGAAGGCACAACAATGCCTCTTCCCCCTCAAGAGGCTGAAAATATTTGGCATGGGCCCTCAGATCCTCAAAAGGTTGTACAACTGCACCATTGAGAGCATCTTGACTGGCAGCATCAGCGCTTGGTATGGCAACTGCTTGGCATCCGACCACAAGGCACTACAGAGGGTAGTGCATACGGCCCAGTACATCACAGGAGCTGAGCTCCCTGCCATCCAGGACCTCTGTACCAGGTGGTGTCAGAGGAAGGCCCCTGTTCTCTCTGCTACCATGCGACAAGCGGTACCGGAGCGCCATAAGACTGCTGAACAGTTAATCAAATGGCTACCTGGACTATTTGCACTGACTCCCCTTTTTTGCATTAACATTATTGAACTGGCACTCACTGAACCCTACCCACACATACTACACTGACACTACAGCACACACATAACATAAAAAGTTACAGCTAATTTGGTGCAATTCTGCACATTTTTGTTATAGGGTGTAGAGAAATGTTTTTTATGTTTTTAATATGATATCTGAGTAAGAGTGACTAACGAAATCAATGGGGGCTGTCACGTCTACTCCTGCTCCTCTCGTACGACGTCGCTCAGTTGGGATGTAGCTCAGTTGGTAGAGCATGGTGTTTGCAACGCCAGGGTTGTGGGTTCGATTCCCACGGGGGGCCAGTATGAAAATGTATGCGCTCACTTAACTGTAAGTCGCTCTGGATAAGAGTGTCAGCTAAATGACTAAAATGTAAATGGTAGCTAGCTATATACTTGCTACAGAAGTTAGCAAGGCAATTGAAATAAATTGCACTAACTCAACACAAAAATTAAGTTCTGTAACCAAGGAAACAATATATAATCTACCATTCCATCTCCTGTAGTTTGAAGCAACTAATTTAAGTGGAATAATAGCCAACAAATGCTCAACTATCACTATTCACTATCTCAATCTATCCAACAATGTTACCAAGCTTCTAAATCACACATGCATACTACTAGGTTCATTCTCTGATCCTTTGATTGGATAGACAACATGTTAGTTCATACTGCAAAAGCTTTGATTGGTTGGAGGATGCCCTCCAGAAGTCGTCATAATTACCATGTAGGTCTATGGAAGGGGGTGAGGAGCATTAGCCTCCTAGGTTTTGTATTGAAGCCAATGTAACCAGAGGAGGATATAAAATTGCTATCTTCCGGCTACACCCTAGAGCAGGGTTCTTCAATTCCGGTCCTGGAGGGCCGAAACACCTCTGTTTTTCATCCTCTCCTTCTAATCAGGGGCTAATTCAGACCTGGGACACCAGGTGAGTGCAATTAACTACCAGGTAGAAATAAAAAACAGAAGTGTTCCAGCCCTCCAGGACCGGAATTGAAGAACCCTGCCCTAGAGGATACTGTAGAGAATACTGTAGACCTTCATTGCAAAACAGTGTGTCTTAATCAGGTATAGTTTTATCTAAAAAATAATAAAATGTTGACTGTTTCATTATTTGCGATATTTCAGAAATTCACTGAGTAGAATGGTCCTCCCCTTCCTCCTCTGACTGAGGCTACAATAGACAGCGACAGAAGGGAGGCTGGCCCTTTAACAACAACTAGAGAAGTGGGCTATCACATATTTATATGTTTGTGTGTGATAATATGTGATGGAAAATTATCTTTCGGGACAATGTTAAAGCAGCCCAGCCCACCAATATCAGTGCTCGCTGTCCATTCATCCGTTTGTTAATTTAGCCTATGCTGCCTATTTATTTATCAAACTAGATTATCTATTTCATTACTATCACGCGCTCTGTCATTGTCCAGAGAGATGACGTTATTTCGCTGCTTATACATTACGTAATGCACGGGTGGCTGGGGAATCCCAATACTGATTGATATTAAATAGGCTACAGAATGTTCATACATTCAAACATAGAGTTTTTAACTTCTTCTGATAATAGCCTAATCTGTTCATAATATAGTTTATGTCTGTCATACTATGTGGCTTTTTATATACAGTTTGTGGTGTTACGTTAAATGAAGAAGCGATAGAGTGAGAGTGAGACATTCAGAGAGAAAGAGCAGGATACGACAGACCGACAGCGGTTTGGTCTCGCTCTGGGGGTCGATAGCTACACGCGCACGAGAAGCGGCAGAGCAGCGGCAGAGAAAGAGTGAGCGGAGAACGGATTTCTCTTTGTGTACTCCATAATTATTATTATTACTAGGCTAGTAGGCCTACAATTTTGTTTGGTGGGTTCGTTGTTAATAACAGTTTAAACTATAGGGAGAGTAGAGGAGAACTGTGCCACTGTAGTCGCTATGGCCGCTCTATCAGGAGGAGAAATGTGCGTCAAATACCTGATGTTCGCTTTCAATCTCATCTTCTGGGTGAGTCACTACTTATACTATTAAAGGGGCTGTGTGTGTGTGTTGTTCTTGTGGCTTGCAGACAACAGCAGGTTGATTCATATAAATTATAGCCTATTTTAAGGGTTTATTCCACACATGCAGGGTAGAGGCAGTGTAGAGCCAGAGGAGGAAGATTCCCCTGTGAATCTGTCTGGTTCCTCTCCAGGTTTCTTTCATCAATGAAAGTTATATGTGCATTGTAAAGGGATAACTGAGAATTTGACAGTAGCTTACAGGCAGCTCCTGGCAAGTATAATTCTGTATTTCATATTACAGTACACCTACTGTAATAGAAATACTGTTTCAAAGTAAGTACTGAAAGTATTATACTGTAAAAGTAAATGCTACCGCAATCGGAATGAATTAATATATGAATGGATGAATTAATGAAATTCATTGAGGGGAGGGGTTTGTATTTCACAGTATTTTACTGTGAATACAAGGGTTTGGTGCAAGCAGGTTGGCTGCTAGGTAAAGTGTTAATGAGCCAGAAACAACAATACCATGCACCCACTAGTGGGAGAACGTTTTTTGGCGCGCCAAAAAATACGATACGGCACTGTATTATGTGGGGTGGAATTACAGTACCATTTGAAATACGGCAATTCTTTCCCCGCCCACAAAATTTCCCGATAATGCACCATAATTTACATTATGTAAAAAATGTCAGAGTATTTTACTGTTGGTAATACAAAAACATTACGTATAATTTACCATTTTCAGTTAGTGTGTTTGTGTGTGCGCACGCATGTGTGTGTGCATGTGTGTATCTGTCTGAGGGGGGTTGTCAGTATCTGCTTGGGGAAAGTGGAACAGTAATTTAGCTGGCCATGACTGGACTGATAAATGGAATCTTGTTGGTGAAAGGTGAAATAATCTCTCACACACACACAAACCGGCCAAATAATCCCTGGTGGCCGAGTGACCCAGTTCCAGTGTGCACAGCATTTCAATAACTCAGCGTTGGCGTGTGAATGTTTGTGTGTTGTGTTTTGTGTTGTGTCTTGGTGGGGTGTGCGATGGTGCGTGATGCGTTTAGGCCCAATGCAGATGAAAGAACAGAGCTCCCCTTGTTGCATGATTCAAAACATGTGTCTGACTGTAGGTAGCTACAGTATCTATGGGTGTGTGTGTGTGTGTTAGGTTCTGCAGCTGTTGAGGGTGTATTAGCAGTAGTGTAGTTGTGTAGTGCAAGCAGCATGATTAGATTAAACAAACTAACTCAATCACTTACAGAGTAGACCAACTCAATCATTAACAGAGGAAACCAACTCAATCATTCACAGAGTAGAACCCAGGTTGTCTGCGCTATCCTCCCTCCCCCCAGCCCACTTCCCCCTCCTCTACCTTTCTGATCAGGTGACTCCAAGGCTTGACAGTTACTCCCTACTACTTTCTCTATCACTCTATGCTCTGTTTATCTCTCCTCTTGCTTTATCCCAGTCACTCTCTGCGATACTGTCTAGGGAAATAGGAGAGAAGTGTTAATGATTTAGTTATTGCTCTGTTACACAGAGAGATCACGTTAGCAATATGGAAATGTTCGGAAGGATCAGGTGTGTGAAGTACATCATGTTTATCTTCAACTTCTTCTTCTGGGTAGGTCTACTTTACTTAGCTTGAGTGAGTGTGTGTATGTGTGTGTGGTGAATGTTCTCTTTAACTAGGCCATTTTCTCCGAACGGAGAACAAGGCATGAGTAATCTACCCCGATTTACTGAGTTTATCTGGCCTCGTTAGGTTTGGTCTGATCACTGCAGAAGACGCACACACATACACACACCATGGAGCAGAGCACCATTCTACATCAAGGCTCTCTGCTAAAGTTAATAATTAATTTGACTGAGGAGGCTGTGTGTGTGTGTGTGTGTGTGTGTGTGTGTGTGTGTGTGTGTGTGTGTGTGTGTGTGTGTGTGTGTGTGTGTGTGTGTGTGTGTGTGTGTCTGTGGTGGCAGCAGCAGCAGCTGTGGTTGTAAGTCTGTAGTAGATTTGATACTGTATGAAGGAATCAGGCCGATGGCCTCTTCTTCTCTCCTCTGTGTGTTAGCTTACCCCAAGTCAGCTAACACACACACACACGGGTGGCAGGTAGCTTAGTGGGTAAGAGCGTTGTGCCAGTAACCGAAAGGTCTCTGGTTCTAATCCCCGAGCCGACTAGGTGAAAAATCTGTCGGTGTGCCCTTAAGCAAGGCACTTAACCCTAATTGCTCCTATAAGTTGCTCTGAATAAGAGCGTCTGCTAAATTACAAAAAAATAAATAATAATAATATAACCTGACATAACCCTGTTTCTCAACATGTCCCTACCTGCTCTCTCACCTGGCTTTCCATGCCCTGGGATAGGTGTATGATATCTAATATTTTGTGTCTGTTTGTGGTAGCTTGCAGGTACAGGAGTGCTGGCTATAGGGTTGTGGTTGAGGTTCGACCCAAAGACCAGAGGACTGTTTGAAGGAACAGAATCTCCCTATGTCTTCTTCACAGGTAATGCAAACACTCACATGCAAGCACGCATGCACTCACACATATACTGAACAAAAATATAAACCCAACATGCAAACAATTTCAAAGATTTTACTGAGTTACAGTTCATATAAAGAACTCTGTCAATTGAAATAAATTCTTTAGGCCCTATTCTAGGGTTTTGACATGACTGGGCAGGGGTGCAGCCATGGGGGAGCCAGTCCCAGCCAATCAGAGGGCTTTATTACAGACAGAAATACTCCTTAGTACCCCCCCCCCTCAGACGATCCTGCAGGTGAAGAAGCCATTTTCTGGCAACAGCTCTGTTGGACATTCCTGCAGTTAGCATGCCAAATGCACGCTCCCTGAAAACTTGAGACATCTGTGGCATTGTGTTGTGTGACAAAACTGCACATTTTAAAGTGGCCTTTTATTGTCCCCAGCACAAGTTGCACCTGTGTAATGATCATGCAGATTCTTGCTATGCCACACCTGTCTGGTGGATGGATTATCTTGGCAAAGGAAAAATGCTCACTAACGAATGCAAACAAATGTGTGCAAAAAAAAAGAGAGAAATAAACTTTCTGTGCATATGGAAAATGTCTGGGATTTTTTTTATTTCAGCTCAGGAAACGCTTTACATGTTGCGTTTATATTTATGTTCAGTGTACATAATCAAATATCACTGCAGGGGCTCTGTTGATGTTGGTGGTTAAAGGGTTAGGGTTAGGGTAAGGGTTAGCTAAAAGGATTAAGGGTAGGGTTAGGGTTAGGGGAAGGGTTAGCTAACATGCTAAGTAGTTGCAAAGTATCTATAAATGTGTAAGTAGTTGAAAATTGCTAATTAGCTAAAATGCTAAGTTGCCCATGATGAGATTCAACTCGCAACCTTTGGGTTGCTAGACGTTTGCGTTATATGCCCACCCATCCATCCATCCCGACCAACAACCCTACTCTCGTTTTTGCCTTAAGTAACCATCTGTCTTATGTAACAATACCAAGCGTAACATATCATACATTTACTATTTCACGTCTAGTCTATGAGACCAGGCTGGACAGACAGGGAGACAGATACTGAGTTCTGGCCTTGAAACTGTTCTGTAAACAGTGATATACTGAAACAAAGAGGTACAGAGTATCTGACTACCAGCCCCAATAACAGTCCAACTAAACACCAAAGAGAAAGAGAAAGAGGAGGTATAGAGGTTAACTCACCAGCCCCAGCATACAGGGAGACTCCTGAATCGCTCCACAGCATCCCAGGAACCCCACCACCATCATCAACGACCCTGCTATTATCAGGATATACACACCTACACACACGCACACACACACACAACCACCAACATCAACAGAGCCCCTGCAGTGATATTTGATTATGTACACTGTCTGGTGGATGGATTATCTTGGCAAAGGAAAAATGCTCACTAACGAATGCAAACAAATGTGTGCAAAAAAAAAGAGAGAAATAAACTTTCTGTGCATATGGAAAATGTCTGGGATTTTTTTTATTTCAGCTCAGGAAACGCTTTACATGTTGCGTTTATATTTATGTTCAGTGTACATAATCAAATATCACTGCAGGGGCTCTGTTGATGTTGGTGGTTGTGTGTGTGTGTGTGCGTGTGTGTAGGTGTGTATATCCTGATAATAGCAGGGTCGTTGATGATGGTGGTGGGGTTCCTGGGATGCTGTGGAGCGATTCAGGAGTCTCCCTGTATGCTGGGGCTGGTGAGTTAACCTCTATACCTCCTCTTTCTCTTTCTCTTTGGTGTTTAGTTGGACTGTTATTGGGGCTGGTAGTCAGATACTCTGTACCTCTTTGTTTCAGTATATCACTGTTTACAGAACAGTTTCAAGGCCAGAACTCAGTATCTGTCTCCCTGTCTCCCTATTTCTCTGTCTGTCTGTCCAGCCTGGTCTCATAGACTAGACGTGAAATAGTAAATGTATGATATGTTACGCTTGGTATTGTTACATAAGACAGATGGTTACTTAAGGCAAAAACGAGAGTAGGGTTGTTGGTCGGGATGGATGGATGGGTGGGCATATAACGCAAACGTCTAGCAACCCAAAGGTTGCGAGTTTGAATCTCATCATGGGCAACTTTAGCATTTTAGCTAATTAGCAATTTTTCAACTACTTACACATTTATAGATACTTTGCAACTACTTAGCATGTTAGCTAACCCTTCCCCTAACCCTAACCCTACCCTTAATCCTTTTAGCTAACCCTTACCCTAACCCTAACCCTTTAACCTAGCCCCTAAATTTAACCCTAACCTTAACCCTAACCTCTAACCCCTAGCCTAGCTAATGATAGCCGCTAGCTAACTTTAGCCACCTAGCCAGAATTCGTAACATATCATACGTTTAGAAAATTCATAACATATTGTACGTTTTACAATTTCGTAACATAATACGAATTGTAATTCGTAACATATCATACGAAATGGGTGATGGACATCCACAAATTAATACCTACAAAACGCATCAAAACATACTAAATGATTTACATACAGAATAATATGAACTGCACTGAGACCAGGTTGGTCTCTCTCTCTCTCTGTCTTTCTCTGTCTCTCTCTCGTTTTCTCTCTCTTTCGTGTGTGTGTGTCCTAAGTCCCTCCTGACCGGGGAGTGGTTTGTGTCAGAGGACACTTGTCAAATGACATACAAAGCGGTTCATGTGCGTATCGGTCTCTTGCAGTTCTTCTTCTTCCTCCTCATCATATTCGCCATTGAGGTCGCCGCTGGAATCTGGGGTTTTTCCAACCAAAGCAAGGTCCCAAAACATATTACATCCCCTGTTCTGTGTTACATTAAAGCCCTTCCCCTGCTATTATCTGTGTTACATTATATTTCTTTCCTTGCTTTGTGTCACATTGCAACCCTACAGGTGGTTGATGACATCACTCAATTCTACATGGAGACATATCAGAACTACCAGAACACTCGACAGGACACACTGAGAGAGACACTCCGTCTCATACAGACTGGGGTAATCATGTGTTTAATTTGTGTGCAGCCTTGTCTGGGGGGGGTTGGGAGCAGAGACAATACACATTTACAGATAAAAACAGATGGACACCTAAATCAAATCAAATCAAATCAAATTGTATTTGCCACATGCACCGAATACAACAGGTGTAGACATTACCATGAAATGCTTACTTACAGCCCTTAACCAACAATGCATTTATTTTTTAATAAAAATGTAAAATAAAACAACAACAACAAAAAAGTGTTGAGAAAAAAAGAGGTAAAATAAAATAACAGTAGGGAGGCTATATACAGGTGGGTACCGGTGCAGAGTCAATGTGCGGGGGCACCGGCTAGTTGAGGTAGTTGAGGTAATATGCACATGTGGGTAGAGTTAAAGTGACTATGTATAAATAATTAATAGAGTAGCAGCAGCGTAAAAAGATGGGGTGGGGGTGTGGGGGGCAGTGAAAATAGTCCGGGTAGCCATGATTAGCTGTACAGGAGTCTTATGGCTTGTGGGTAGAAGCTGTTGAGAAGCCTTTTGGACCTAGACTTGGCGCTCCGGTACCGCTTGCCGTGCGGTAGCAGAGAGAACGGTCTATGACTAGGGTGGCTGGAGTCTTTGACAATTTTGAGGGCCTTCTTCTGACACCGCCTGGTATAGAGGTCCTGGATGGCGGGAAGCTTGGCCCCAGTGATGTACTGGGCCGTACGCACTACCCTCTGTAGTGCCTTGCGGTCAGAGGCCGAGCAGTTGCCATACCAGGCGGTGATGCAACCAGTCAGGATGCTCTCGATGGTGCAGCTGTATAACTTTTTGAGGATCTGAGGACCCATGCCAAATCTTTTCAGTCTCCTGAGGGGGAATAGGCTTTGTCGTGCCGTCTTCACGACTGTCTTGGTGTGTTTGGACCATGATAGTTTGTTGGTGATGTGGACACCAAGGAACTTGAAGCTCTCAACCTGTTCCACTACAGCCCCGATGATGAGAATGGGGGCGTGCTCAGTCCTCTTTTTTTTCCTGTAGTCCACAATCATCTCCTTTGTCTTGGTCACGTTGAGGGAGAGGTTGTTATCCTGGGACCACACGGCCAGGTCTCTGACCTCCTCCCGATAGGCTGTCTCATCGTTGTCGGTGATCAGGCCTACCACTGTTGTGTCGTCGGCAAACTTAATGATGGTGTTGGAGTCATGCCTGGCCATGCAGTCATGGGTGAACAGGGAGTACAGGAGGGGACTGAGCACGCACGCCTGAGGGGCCCCCGTGTTGAGGATCAGCGTGGCAGATGTGTTGTTACCTACCCTTACCACCTGGGGGCGGCCCGTCAGGAAGTCCAGGATCCAGTTGCAGAGGGAGGTGTTTAGTCCCAGGATCCTTAGCTTAGTGATGAGCTTTGAGGGCACTATGGTGTTGAATGCTGAGCTGTAGTCAATGAATAGCATTCTCACGTAGGCGTTCCTCTTGTCCAGGTGGGAAAGGGCAGTGTGGAGTGCAATAGAGATTCCATCATCTGTGGATCTGTTGGGGCGGTATGCAAATTGGAGTGGGTCTAGGGTTTCTGGGATAATGGTGTTGGTGTGAGCCATGACCAGCCTATCAAAGCACTGGCTACAGACGTGAGTGCTACGGGTCGGTAGTCATTTAGGCAGGTTATCTTAGTGTCCTTGGGCACAGGGACTATGGTGGTCTGCTTGAAACATGTTGGTATTACAGACTCAGTCAGGGACATGTTAAAAATGTCAGTGAAGACACTTGCCAGTTGGTCAGCACATGCTCGGAGTACACGTACTGGTAATATTTCTTGCCCTGCGGTCTTGTGAATGTTGACCTTCTTAAAAGTCTTACTCACATCGGCTACAGAGAGCGTGATCACATAGTCATCCGGAACAGCTGGTGCTCTCATGCATGCTTCAGTGTTGCTTGCCTCGAAGTGAGCATAGAAATGGTTTAGCTCGTCTGGTAGGCTTGTGTCACTGGGCAGCTCGCGACCATTCTACCTTGTGTGTTACAGTTGGACTGCTGTGGACCCACAGGTTCCGTTGTGGACTCTGCCAAAGACACCTGTCCCCGAAGAGACGGGCTGGATAGCCTCATCACCAAGGTAACCCCCTGCTCTGTGATTGTGTTTGTGTTCAGGTGTTCCTCCATCTTTATCTCTATAGCCCTTCATTCTGTATCTCTACAGCCCCTCCTGATTTGGCCTAGTTTTTGAGCTTGGTCATTAATAAATGCAGCGGCCATGACTGAAGCAAAACGAGAGTTGTCTTTGCGGGGGGGGGGGGGGGGGGGGGGGGTTTAATGCGGGCGTCTCTTGTGTGTGTGCTCACATGTGGCAAGTGTTTGTACATTCACTCTGCCAAAACAGTATAAAGTTACAGTCACTCATCCTTCTAGATAACTTAAAACAGTCTAAACAGGTCTTGCATCTTGAAGTCGCATAGGCTAGCCAAGTTCTTTCGCCAATTAGCTTCAGCTGGTTGGTGTGCGACTGTGGTAAAGTTGGTTTGACATTGGATAGCCTATCTCTGAGGCTAGTTAGGGACCGTCAATAAATTACACAATGTAAATGGGACAATATTTTCATGTTGCACATCTTTTAGTTGTCTAATTAAATGCTTTCAATATTTGTAAATACATTTTTTAAATATATAGTTGCTTTGAGGTTTTTAAAATATCAACATTTGGAGCTAATAATATTGAAAAATATTGTCCCATGTACATTGTGTAATTTACTGATGGTCCCTAACTAGCCCCATAGGGATAATGTCAATTCAAATTGACATTGGGTCAGCTGTGAAATAAACTCAACCGAAGGAAATCTGTTAAGATACCCTTCATTCTGTGACATACATTTTTTTCCCGATCATCTCGCAAATCTCAGTTTTGGACAAGACTGACCAAAATGATTATTTTAAAACTTTGTAGTCAATTTTGACACTAGAATAAACGTTTCTGACTCACATCGATGCAACATTTTCAAAACGAGAAGTTGCTTTTTAGAGGCAGTCGCTCTTTAATATGTTTGTGTGTGTTGCAGAGCTGTCCTGATGCTATAGATGAATTGTTTGACTCCAAGCTGCACATCATAGGAGGAGTGGGTATCTCTATTGGAGTTATCATGGTGAGACACACACACACACACACACACGCACGCACGCACGCACACACACACACACACAGACACACAGACACACAGTGCAACGGAAGACCATGTTATCCCACTACGCTCCATTACAGACAGATAGACAGACAGGTTGACAGAGAGACTTCTCTACAGTAAATAACTCTTCATTTCCCATTCTATTCCACAGATGTTTGGGATGATCTTCAGCATGCTGCTCTGCTGTGCCATCAGGAAGTCACGGGAGATTGTCTGATGATGTCATCGTTACCATGACGGCAGCCGTTAATGTTGCATGATGTCATTCCTAGTCACATGAATTTTGTCATCCAATAGAGAGGCTGTGTGTTGAGAACGGTCGGCCTGAGCGCTAGCAGCTGTTCAGGTCCACTAGCCAACCCACTGCCATCTAGTTAGATCCCCTAACCTCTGTAACAAGGATCTGCTATACCTGGTTCACCTGGCGTTACATGCGCGAGCGTCGCAAAATAAATATACACATGCATGTTATTCAGTAATTTCATCCAAACTGCTTGCACGCGTCATGATTGAAAGATGAACGAAGTCCACACTCCAGTCCAGTTGGTGGCGGTAATGCACATCGAAGTTGGTTGCCAACCGCCATATAAAATCCACAGAAGAAGAAGAATGATTAAACGAGGAGAGATTAATCAAAGAAAACGAACTAAAAACTAAATTTCCCTTTTTATGAGTGGATTAATTGTCAAAGTAGAGAACACACAACTTTATATGATTCAAAATGGGGAAAAATTCTACAAAGATCCAGCTAATAAAAGGACCATATGCATTTCAGGTAAAATAACAACCCAGTGTTTATCTCCCAGGACAAATTAGCTAGAAACAGCAAGCTAGCTAAATGTCCATGAATGTTTCATGTGCTTGTCCAATCAGATCAGCTCTGAAAAAGATCTGATGTGAAAAGATCTGATGTGATGAAGTGATCTAGATTAGCTAATCTGCGCAGTGCTTTTCTCAGGCTGATCCTCTCAAACACAGTGAATCTGCCCAGTGCACAGGTTGACCCTCCTAAACTATCATGATGATAACATCAGTCTTTCCTGGTTGAGGGTTGATGAGAGATTAACTGCTTCTCTTCTAATTTTTATGAGAAGCATTACTGTAATGAAAATGTTAGATTGTCTGCATAATCAAATAACATTCAGCTCAGACACCCTTATATACCCCACAATACATGCCACCAGGGGTCTCTTCACAGTCCCCATGTCCAAAACAAATCAAATCAAATCAAATTGTATTTGTCACATGTGCTGAATACAACCGGTGTAGACCTTACAGTGAAATGCTTACTTACAAGCCCTTAACCAACAATGCAATTTTAAGAAAGAATACCAAAAAAATACAAAAAAAACATGAAATAACCAAATAATAAGAAATAAAAGTAACAAATAATTAAAAAGCAGCAGTAAAATAACAATAGCGAGGCTATATACAGGGGGTACCGGTATCGAGTCAATGTGCGAGGGCACCGGTTAGTTGAAATTCACATAGATGATAATACAAAAATAATTCACGGCAATGCACAGTATCATACAGAGCCATGATCGCAAGGAACTCCCATCTCCAATTACTCAAGCAACAGCAAAATTACCATTAAAAAAAGATTGAACAACATCTCATGGAACAGCGGGGACACACACACAAACAAACACATGCACACACAGACACAATCTAACACACATATTATTTTATTTGGTGTATTGTTTGTAGTATTATAAAAAATGTGTTTTGGTATTATTTGTATATCGTTGTATTTTACATTTGTGTGACTGTCCTTTTCTATCATTGTATCAGTGTTTTGTTACTTGTCATGTTTTGTTTTTTGTGGACCCCAGGAAGAATAGCTGCTGCCTTTGCAAAAGCTAATGGAGATCCAAATAAACAAACACATATCACTGTTCACAGATTGGCCCCGAGAGAGACTGGTTCAGGAAGTGAAATAAACATAACACATTTCTGATTTACGATTAATTAAGAGATCTGTAAATAGTAGGCAATAGGATTTATCCCAAAAAAAGGGTTATATGAACAGACTCTCAATTACCACAATCACTCAATGATTTAAAATGAAACTATTGATGAAATAATGGCATGACAATGTGAGCGAGATATATTCTATTAATTAATGTAATTATATTGTATCGTGATCACATTTCTACCAAAATAACATCTGAAGAACCATGGGCGGTCATAAGACGCTCTATGGCAAAGCCAATCAAACTCTACCATTCCTTAGCAAGAGCCAATGAAATCATTGTTCCCAATGAGATTGCAGGCTGTGACCTGGGGTGTATTCATTACGTCTTGCAACAGTATCCGTTTACCGTTTAAGAACCAAACAGAAGCAAACAGAGCAAACGGAATGAAATGGGGAGGGACCTACCTGAATTTGTCCAATAGAAACTCATTTTCGTTGCAAAACGTTTTCCATTGGAGTAAACCGTTTCTGTTGCAAAACATTTTTCAACAGAACAGGCGTAATGAATACACCCCTCTCTCTCGATCTCTCACCCTCTCCCTCTCTCTCTCTCTACCCAATTTGAAAATGCCTTTAAGTCTCTGACTGTTTTTGTAAAGCAGTTTTTTATTTGTGACTGAATATCTAGGTGAGTTGTAGTCAGTTTTACAGTATATCTAGGTCTCTGCTAGATTAGAGACTTTTATAACATCCTTGCCATTTTACACTGGACAGGTTGGTTGTTGCACAAATCAAATTAGCCAAATAAAATGTAACCTCTGATCCTCATTCTGGTTTCACATTGATGTGTATGTGTGTGTAATGAGTAAGAGAGGAAAACATGTCTGTCAGCTTTCACAGCCTCCTGCTCCTGTGGAAAATAATAACCTGATCCCATCATCCTCTCCTTCAGTTTTGTTTTGTTTACTCTCTCTCTCTCTCTCTCTCTCTCTCTCTCTCTCTCTCTCTCTCTCTCTCTCTCTCTCTCTCTCTCTCTCCTCTCCTCTCTCCTCTCTCTCTCTCTCTCTCTCTCTCTCTCACACACACACTGGTAGGATTGTCAAATGTTTGCCTGCCGACAGTACTTAGCACCTCTGAACAGTGTCACCAGTCAATCTCTTTTGTGTTCACACAGCAAAGACCTTGAAGTCGTCAACCATTCAGTCTTGTTAAAATACTCCAAACCAGAAGGTGGCCATAGCGTTGTTTGGCAATTAGGTGGAAAACACTCTACCCGATACTTAAGGAAAATAGATCAACTGACTTTGTGCCTATATTGTTGTTGACAAGGTCTGTATTAATGGCAAGCTAAACCGTGATGAAAAGGTTACACCTTGGATTTATTGGTGTGGGCGTTTGCCTGATGTGCGCTTCAGCGCTAAATAGCGGGTATTACAATACCTTCCAGTGCATGTTTCCTTTTGTGTTTTTAGTTCTACATTCTTTATGTATTTATGTTATACTGTATACAGTGCCCTCTGTGATTACTGGGACAGTGAAGCATGTTTTATTATTTTGGCTGTATACTTCAAAGGTTTGGATTTGAAATCAAACAATGACTATAAGGTTAAATTGCAGACTGTCAGCTTTAATTTGAGGGTATTTTCATCTATATCAGGTGAACCGTTTAGAAAGCACAGCACCTTTTGTACATAGTCCCCCCATTTTAAGGGAACACAAATTCACAATTCACTTATAAAACACAAATTCACAATTCACTTATAAAAACACAAATTCACTTATACAGTGCATTCGGAAAGTATTAAGACCCCTTTACTTTTTCCACATTTTGTTACGTTACAGCCTTATTCTAAACTGGATTAAATTGGTTTATTTCCTCATCAATCTACGCATAATACCCCATAATGACAAGGGAAAAACAGGTTTTTAGACATTTTTGCACATTTATAAAAAAAAAAAAAAAAAAAAAAACGGAAATAGCACATTTACATAAGTATTCAGACCCTTTACTCAGTACTTTGTTGAAGCACCTTTGGCAATGATTACAACCTTGAGTCTTCTTGGGTATGACGCTACAAGCTTGGCAAGCTGTATTTGGAGAGTTTCTCACATTCTTCTCTGCAGATCCTCTAAATCCCTGTAAGGTTGGATGGGGAGCGTCGCTGCACAGCTATTTACAGGTCTCTCCAGAGATGTTTGATCGGGTTCAAGTCCGGGCTCTGGCTGGGCCACTCAAGGACATTCAGAGACTTGTCCCGAAGCCACTCCTGCGTTGTCTTGGCTGTGTGCTTAGGGTCGTTGTCCTGTTGGAAGGTGAACCTATGCCCCAGTCTGAGGTCACGAGCGCTCTGGAGCAGGTTTTCATCAAGGATCTCTCTGTACTTTGCTCTGTTCATCTTTCCCTCTATCCTGACTAGTCTCCCAGTCCCTGCCGCTGAAAAACATCCCCACAGCATGACGCTGCCACCACCATGCTTCACCGTAGGGAGTGACCATCTGGTTCTTGATCACCTCCCTGACCAAGGCCTTTCTCCCCTCATTGCTCAGTTTGGCCGGGCGGCCAGCTCTAGGAAGAGTCTTGGTGGTTCCAAACTTCTTCCATTTAAGAAGGATGGAGGCCACTGTGTTCTTGGGGACCTTAAATGCTGCAGACATTTTTTGGTACCCTTCCCCAGATCTGTGCCTCAACACAATCCTGTCTCAGATCTCTATGGACAATTCCTTCACAGGTGGACTCCTATCAAGTTGTAGAAACCTCTCAAGGATGACCAATGGAAACAGGATGCACCTGAGCTCAATTTCAAGTATCATAGTAAAGGGTCTGAATACTTATGTAAATAAGTTCTGTTTTTTATTTTTAATACATTTTCAAACATTTCTAAAAACTAGTTTTTGCTTTGTTATTAAGGGGTATTATGTGTAGATATATGAGGAAAACAAACAATTTAATCAATTTCAGAATAAGGCTGTAACGTAACAAATAGTGGAAAAAGTCAAGGGGTTCTGAATACTTTCAAAATGCACTGTATGTGTATTAAAGTATTTGGTCCCATATTCATAGCACACAATGACTACATCAAGCTCGTGACTACAAATTTGTTGGATGCATTTTCTGTTTGTTTTGGTCGTGTTTCAGATGATTTGTGCCCAATTGAAATGAATGGTAAATAATGTATTGTCATTTTGGAGTCACTTTTATTTTAAATAAAAATATAATATATTTCTAAACACTTTGAAAAGGAATGTGGATGTTACCATGATTACAGTGCTGAAGTACAGAGCCTAATGATGAGTGAGAA